TCCCTCCCGTTGGCTGCCAGCCGAAGGAGGTGGAACTGTGGCGCGGGCAGAGAAAGGAGGCTGGGAAAGCCGCCCCGGACGGCGAGGGGTCTGCTTAGGTGGCTGGATCCAGGGTGAACGGGAGGCTGGGGTGGGCACGGAGGCGCGAGCGGAGGGCGGAGAAGAGCAGCGCCATCATCGCCTTCACTCTTTCTCCCGCCTTTCCCTCCCATTGGCCGCCAGCTGGAGGAGATAGAACCAGGGCGTGGGCAGAGAAAGGAGGCTGGGAAAGCCGCCCCGGACGGCGAGGGATCTGCTTAGGTGGCTGGATCCGGGGTGAACGGGAGGCTGGGGTGGGCACGGAGGCGCGAGCGGAGGGCGGAGAAGAGCAGCGCCATCGTCGCCTTCGCTCTTTCTCACGCCTTTCCCTCCCGTTGGCCGCCAGTTTTTATGACAGTTACAATATCCTGGGATCATGCAATTACCATTTGCGGCTTTCTGACAAGCAAAGTCAATGGGGAAGGCAGATTCATTTAACAACCGGGTTACTAACATCATAATGGCAGCGATTCATTTAACAACTGTAGCAAGAAAGATCATAAAATGGGACAAAATTCAGTTAAATCTCTAGCTTGGTAATGGAAATTTTGGGCTGAAATGTGGTCGTAAGTCGAGGATTACCTGTCTTTGTTTATTTATATTCCACCTTTAATATTTTAGTAAATAACTCAAAGCAGCAAACATGCCTAATACTCCTTCCTCCTCCTATCCCCCCCACTCCCAACTATAACCCTGGGAGCTGAGTTTAGCTGCAAGAGAGAGCCAGCTGGGTGATTTTTTAAAATGATTATTCTTGCTTCAAACTTAATGAGATTAATCAATTTCATCATATTGGGCTATTTACTTGGGTTTTTTAAAAACATATTTCATTTGTGGGTCCTCTCCTGGACACAGTCCCGTGTGTAGATGCCCTACTGCTGGTCTTGGCCCATACTCAAAAGGCTTTAGAGATGAGATAGTTGCCTGCATAAAAAAAAGAAAGGATTTAAGTAGTAAAAAAGATAACAGGGGAACAGACAACCATCTAGGAAGATTAGATGCTTTTTGGCCTCCCAGGAAACAAAAGCCCCATTTGGATTATGCAAGGCCGGACAACTGAGTTGAGCCCTCAATGCTGTGGAATGCTAATAGCAAACTTTGTCTTACAGTGCCAAGTTTATCCATTTCTGTGGGACTACAGTCAGCGATTCTACATGTGGAAAACATCCCTAAGGGACAACAATTCAAATTGTGGCTCTATCTGAATCGGACGGTCGGATTTATAGGTTTTGATCAGGCGACTCCCAGGTTGCTGGTAAGTGAAGGTTTCCCCCAGTGTTTGTCCTGCCTAGTACTTGAGAGACCGCCTACTGCCGATCACCTCCACACGACCCATTAGATCTCATTGTTTAGGCCTCCTCCGAGTTCCATCCGCTGGCCAATGCCGACT